TTCCTGTGTATGTCTGTCGGCCAAGGCTCCCTGATTGGACCAGATCAACAGCCCTAATCAGGGAACTCATATTCCCTGCTCATGTCCATCTGGCTGACCTCGTTACAAACAACACATCCCTTCCGCTCTGAGTCTGAGGATATAGGCCAGTTCTTTGCTTTGTAGCTCCTTCTGGGGCATTTTAGCACCTGGTCAGGTTCCTCTGATACAGGCGGTGAGTAATGTACAGTAGCTCACCTCCTGTACCCAGAGTGTCTCAAAAAATATACATTCTCCTCTTCAGACGGCAAAGGGGTCGAGGTGGCAACATGCCCTGTGTCCATCTCGGATTTGAGGTATCTTCAATGTTGATGGAGAAGGAGAACCCAGGGGTTCCGGAACAGTCGGAAAAGAGTCGAGGGGCAGGGCAAGTTTTTATCCCACACTGTTTGTGAGTTTGCAGCTTTCATATTGTCCGTGTCCTTGTTCAGAACTCTCACAAATTTTATATGTCACTGGACCTAAATTAGCATTGACCAAACCTCTTACCCACGCAGGGCCATTCCCATGGTTGCCACACCAAACTTCATCCTCTGTAGTAAGCTGTCTCTCTTGCTTAGCGGAGTCTTGTGTCCGTCGTTGTAGCTCCTGGTGCCATTTCACCCACCCCCCCAACCAGGTCCAGATCTAACCTGGTGCAGAGCCTTCTCCCCATTCGCAACTCGACTGGAGCTAGTTACATGAGTGGTGGTCCTATAATCAAATAGAAACTGGGACAGTTTGGTATCTAGTGAAATTGTAGGCTGTTTCTTTAAGCCTGCCTTCAAGGTTTGCACTACTCTTACTGACAGACCATTGGATGATGGATAGTAGGGAGGTGTCCTGTCATGACAAATACTATTCAACTTTAGGAAATCCTCAAACTCCATGCTGGTAAATGATGGCCCGTTATTTGTGACCAACTTTTCTCTGAACTTATGTATTGCAAAAGATATCGTCATCCCTTGTTTGGTGAATGAATGTCCTACCATATTGAGTGGGCATTAACAATGTCTAAGAACATTGCGCCTATGAAAGGACCTGCATAGTTGACGTGTGACTGATTCCAGGGTTTACCTGGCCATTCCCATGAAGGTGGGGGAGCTGCTGGCTGTAAATTTTGTCCTCTTGTTGGCACTCTGGGCACTGGCCCACAAATGCGGCTATGTCTGCATCCACTCCTACGCATCAATCATGACTTTTCACCAATATCTTCATTTTGGAAACCCCCTGGATGACCCTGATGAAGTTTAGCCAATATCTGATGGCAATCTTTGCTTGGGACAATCACTCTTGTTCCCCATAACAATATGCCATCCTGTATTGTAATCTGGTCACAGGAAAGCTTTCAGTTCTGGTTGTGACAGTCCTTTGGTTTCCCTTTGGTTTCACTTTTGCCAAGACTAGATCTTTCTGCATCCAAAGTCTCATATTGTCAGCTGTGACTGGAAGTGTGACCGAAAAATTTAAAACCATTACTGACTAATCCAGTGGCATTATCACTGGTGGTGTATCTGCTTGCAGGAGGCAGTTCAATGCATTTGCATTTGCTACATGGCTTCCCGGACGTGTTCTAACTTGTAACTGTATGCAATTAAGAGTTAGAGCCCTCTGCTAAATTCAGCCTAAAGCCATGAGCAGCACTGCCTTGTTCTCTTTAAGTAGACCTAGCAGGGATTTGTGGCCCATTATTATTACAAATTTCATCCGTAAAGGTAATGGTGGGCTTTCCAGATGTGCCACTTTCCTGGATACTGGCCTAATAATTCTCTTACTCTAATTAGGTATGGTGGGACATTTTTGCTGTCTCGAGTCAGCATACCAGCAGCAAATACCATGGCTTTCCAGCCTGGATCCTGAAGAAAATTTTAACGATGTGGCCGAGACTTGGCTTTATTTTAGGGTTTTGCTGTGGGCTGACCGAGAGCCCCTCTGTTCAGGATATGTCCTGAGGGAGGCTATGCAATTGCCTTCACTTAAGTGGTGCTCCCCAAGCTCGGTCAGACTGACAAGGGTGTCCACTTCCATCAGAATATACTGAAACCCTTAGGCTCCACTTGCAGCTTTTTCTAATGACAATGCCAGTTGTAGTGTCCATTTGAAGTGCAGATGGGCTTCAGATAGTATGTGCTTTTGCATGGTTACACCATTAATTCAACAAAGAAAATGCATCTCATCCAGGGTTAAACCAAAGTCACATGCCTGTGCCAGTTGTGTTAACCTAATCAAAAGTCTCAATACGGATTGCTCTGGTTCTTGATTTGCCAAGTAAAACCAATAGCATCTTGGAACTAGAGGAGGTTTGGGGTCATAATATTCCATAGCAAAATCTATCAATTCTTGAAAGGTTTTAGTATCAAGTGCCTCAGGGAAAGATATGCTCCTAACAACCGAAAAAGCTGCAGGTTCATAAGCTGTCAGGAGAATTACTCATTGCTTTTCATCTGCCCAAATATCTTTGCCTGGAAGAACAAGGTATTCTTTCCACACACTGGGTCCAGTCTTCAATGGTAGGATCAAATGAGTCAAGCTTCCCAAAAGAAGGCATGATGCCAGAAACGCTTACCCCCAACTCAAAGATAACTGTTGCAAGTAAATTTCTTCAGGAGTGTGCTTTTTTCTCATCTCCACTGAAATAACTCCGCGGAGACCAGTATCCCTTCATCAAGTAGCCGTCTATTTACAGCTGGAAGCTCCTTGGCACTGATACAGCTTACTCAGAGCCAGCTAAAAGAAAGAATAGAACGTCTGACACTTCTGTTTATATCTGTCATCCAGGGCTCCCTGATTAGACCAGATTAATAACTCCAATCAGCGCACTCATATTCTATGAAGTCCACCTGGTTGACCTCATAACAATCACTTCAGGAGTGCGGCATTGTCAGAAGGTCAGTACTAAGGGAGAACAGTACTGTCAGAACATCAATATGGGGGGAGTGCTGCACTTTAGAAGGGTCTGTACTGAGGGAGTGCTGTGCTGTCTGAGGGGCAGCACTGAGGAAATGCTGCACTGTCAGTGGGTCAGTATGTGGGGAGTTGTGCACTGTCAGAGGGTCAGTACTGAGGGAGTACTGCATTGTCAGAGGAGTATACTGATGCTATACTATAACAATAATCTACATCCCAGTGTAGTAAAGCAGGTGAGTCATGGTCATGGATGAGTTGGGTCTCATTTTTGAAATTCTGTCAATTTTGTAATGATCCCAGTAGACTAGAGCATGACAAATGTAGCCCCATTGTTTAGAAAAGGACAGAACTGGAAAACTGGGAACTACAGACCAGTTAGCAGAGCATCAATAGCAGAGAAATTGATGGATCTATTATAAAAGACGAGAAAACAATATGTGTAGAAAATACTAATGGGATTTTAGAAAGTCAAGATGGCATTATCAAGGAGAAATCATGTTTGAGAGTTCACGTGGAGGTTTTTGAGGGTGTAACCAGTAGAATACCTGACAGAGACCTGGGTTTCAATGGATAGCTGGATTCTCAGAAAGGTCTAGATAGAGCCCATTCAATAGGTCAATGACCAGATTCAAAGTGCAATGCATTGGTTGTAACCGTGGTTATAGGCAATTACTCAATAACAAGTATAAATGTTTAAACTTCCAGGAAATTATGTTTCCTTAGTCATGGGTTTGATGGGTCCTTGTGTAGCTGATGAGCCCAATCCTAGTGCCGTATCTCAGCATCTGGTGATAATATACTTGTGTGGATTGAGACTTGGTTAGCAGGCAGGAAGAAAGGAGTATGAATGAATGGATCTTTCTCAATTGGAAGCTGCTAAGTGGCGGTACCACAGTGACCACATTTTTATGTGTGTACATGTAATATATATACGCTGTCTCAGTGGTTAGCACTGCTGTCTCACAGAGCCAGAGACTCAGGTTTGATTCCAGCCTCAGGTGACTGTCTGTTGGAGTTTGCACATTCTCCTCATGTCTGTGTGGGTTTCCTCTGGGTGCTCTGGTTTCCTTCTACAGTCCAAAGATGTGCAGGTTAGGTGGATTGGCCATGCTAAATTGCTCATAGGTCCAGGGATGTGCAGGCTAGGTGGATTAGCCATGGGAAATGCAGCGTTACAAAGATAGCACAGGATGTGTGGGTCTGGCTGGGATGGCTTTCGGAAGGTTGGTGTGGACTCGATGGGACAAATGGCCTGCTTCCACATTGTAGGGGTTTGATGATTCTACTATATATATGTATATAAATGATTTGGATAAGCAAATCAAATGTATTATTTCCAAGTTGCTGACAACACAAACTGGGTATGACTGGAAGTGGTAAGGTGTGTAAAGATGGCTCGTAGTGACTGCCACAAGTTGATGAGTGGGCAAATGAGTGGCAGGTAAATATGAGATGGATGATTGAAAAGTGGTCCACTTTGGTAGGAAA